GCTGGAACCCACTTCCTCAGATATGCTTATTCATAGCTCTTTAATGGACCTAGAACACTTTCCTGGTATTTCTTAATGGGGGAAGCTGAGGTAAGAGGCTGTGGCTTATTCAAGGTCAGATTACAAATTTGAGAGTGGGGTGGCTAGGAAAAGCTCTGTTTCCTCATGACTCCTGATATTTTTATCTATCACATCATGTTTTCACTCTTTTCCAAGCTACTTTTGCATACTGTAGATTTATATGATGTGACTAAGATTCAGACCTCTTGAATTTCTCCTACACCTTGTGATGAGGTTATCAGACTGAAAAACTATTTATAAAACACTTTCTGCTCACCTCCCTGATTTTGTCCACTGTGTATTTACGTTAACATTTGCAGGATGTATGGGATCTAATGAAAGAAAATGCTTTTTAAAAATATCACTGGTGCTGAGATGGGAATTGACCAAAAAGTCAGGACAGGCAGTCCCCAGGTTACATGGATCCGACTTACATTGGATCCCTACTTACAAATGGGGTGAGGCAACCCTGCACTAGCTGCTTCACCCTAGCAGACCAGGGAGATGCGGAGCGGCTTTTCTCAGTAGACGCCTCAGCTTGAAAATAAAGGACTGAGGGAAGTGAGGTGTGGGAGAATAAAACTGAGCTCTGGAGAAATGTTTGGCTAGAGTTTCCCTTACAGTATGTACCAGTTCCGACTTACATACAAATTCAACTTAAGAACAAACCTACAGTCCCTATCTTGTACGTAACCCGGGGACTGCTTGTACTTCAATTCCCTTTGTTCTGATTTTTTTGTTTGTTTGTTTAATTATTTTTGGTTTGTAATGGAACAGGCAACAGACTACAGGCTAAGTTCAACTAAAACAACTCTTTCAAGTGTTTTTACAGTGAAGAGAACATGCACTAGTTCATTGAAGCCTCAACATTTACAGCACATAATTGAAGATCCAAGCAATACATTATGCAGGTTTTCTTTCCATTTTCTGAGAGCGCATCTAAGAGTCCAAAAACATGAGATGAGAATAGTACCCTCAATAATACTTCTAAGCTAAAAAGGGCAAAATAATGATGTTCTATATAAAGCACAGGACTTGGAGTCACAAACATAGGCTCCATGCCTGGCTGTAGCAAAGACCCCAATCCTCATACAGAGTAAGTCTTTAGGGGGTCAATAACACAGTACATCCATTACTTATGAGAGAAATATCACTTGCATCAGTGAACATTTTATTGGAGTAAAAATTACATTTATTAATGAAGGTTGCATGATCATGCCTTAACCTCAGTTTTCTAATGTAATTAATCCTGGAGAACTACCCTAGCATAGCCAACCCAGGTTTAGGGAGCACAAAGGTAATTTATAGCCATGTTTGCACCTTCCCTCCCTGCACTTTCAGCTGTATCTGAACACATGGGCCATAGTATCAAGGACATGTCTGTTTTTCAGAGTTTCCTTCCATAGTAGTAAAATGATTGAATAATTTTAATTCTAGTAAAATAGGGGTAATATGGTAGTGGAAAGCTTGCGTGACAAATGAGTAAAGGCTATGAAGGCTTGGGCGCAAATATATAGGTTCAGTTACAAAAATGAAATTGAAAGGGAGTAGATAAAGACATCTAAAATAATTGTTCTGTAGGATATGGCCTTTCCACATAGTCAGGGAGCTTTCTCTTCTCTTCTGTCTGAAGAGAGAGTCCAATAGAGAATCTCATCTCTTAATTAGAAAGAAAAATACTCATCAAATGCATCTCATCACTGGAAAGCTAATGATCCACAGCTGCTATCCTGAAAGGGCAGGCTCTTTTTCCTGAACAGTGGGAAGTGTTAATCATTTTGGATGAGATTTCTTTTTAAAATGCTATAGTTTGCAGAAGAATGGGATATTCAGTATTCCAACTTAAATTATTTTTTGAAGTGTGGTACACCAGGGATAGAATCACGTGTGTCATTGAATAATAATGTTATACATATTATTCCTCACTAAGGGTATCCACTGAGGTGATGTAAATGACCAGTTCATTCCTGTAATTCTTGAAATCCTTGCCTCCAAGGGGGAAAAAAGGGGGGGGGAACCTCCCATGTATACCTCTTATGTAGCAAACGGCAGCAATATTAAACTATAACCTATGGGACACTCACTCCTCCCTTAAAATAGTCGGCTTGTTTCATAGTAATGAAGGGTTTTTTTTTCTTTTTCTTTTAAGCTTTAGAGGATACATTATTTCTTGAAAAGAGATTATAGCAGATGCAATCCATGTTCAATTGAATGTTTAGTGGATAGGGCCTAGTGAACCTTCATCCTCTTTTCCAACTGTTTTTCCTGTATTATCTATACTAGTTTAATGGAGGAATATGTAGCTTCCCTTCTCTTTCCTGGAGGAAATGAAATTAAAGGAATATGTTCACACACAGTCTTTTCTTTTAAAAATATTATAAGATGCTTTTTCTGTGGAAAATAAAAAAATCACCGTTATTTTTTCACACTATGCCCTGGATAGTTTTGAGGCTTGATCATCTATCTTAAAATCTCTTTCTATTGAGAGTTTCTAAATTATTACATGTCTTGTTTGTTGTAGTTTTCTGCTGAGAGGAGATACTGAGGCAGTTTGAGCTGCGGTACTATCATTATCCTGTTTTTCCATAGCTGTTCATTTTATTTTCATAGCAAATGTAGTGCCCTTGCTTTATGAGTGGCTGACTGAGACAGGCGCTTCAATGAGACATCTGGTTGAATCTCAGTCCAGACAAAATGGAAGTAATCCTGGTGGACCAGGAAAATTACTTTGAGGAGATGACCATGTATAGCTATTCTGTTCATGTCAAAAACCCAAACTGCGAGTCCTTTCATTTTTATGCAGAGATTCAGAGTTTGCAGCAATAACCAATAATGTTTTTCCTCATTTCACCCTTTATTTCTGGATGTGGACTTTGCCATAGTTAATTTTATCTGTCTTCCAATTACATTATTTCAGCAAATTCTGCTTGGGACTACCCCTAAAGACCAGGAGCACACTACATTCTATAGATGACACTGGTCACCAGGTGCAATTCTGGATGTTTTTATTTTACAAAGACATATGCAGCTGGATTTTTCTTGAAAGATTGTCTCTCGATCTAATGGTCCCCAGATGTGAAATGAAGGCTAGGAAGATTTGCAAAAAATCTCATTAACTATCAACCTTTTCCTATAGTTTTCCAAGACATTCACATATAGTCCATTTAGTGGCAAAGAAGGAAGAAATTTAGGTGATCTGCTACTGTGGATTTTTTTTTAAATGTAGGTTTTTACACTAGAATTTGCATTAGTTTTTGAGATATAATGTTATGGTTCTATTAAACAAATCCTCAATTTAAGGTATAATTAAATACCTGTTTTAGTTCTTGATCAAATGGAAATAATAGAGTTAAACAGGAGGAGCTATTTGTTTGGCTTTTTTAAAATTTCAGTCTGGTAGCTATGGTTTGGGTTTGCCATAGTTCTGGAACCAGTGCCCTTAATTAATTTTGGAAAGCAGAAGAAATGTAAGGCAGTGCCTTGTAGTTTTTGGAAGAAAAGCATGTAGCGTTTCCAGTACATGATGACTGAAGACTTAGAGCAGATTCAGCAACAGTGTTGTTTTCCATTGTGCTTTCAGCTATTATTTTTGTCATGTGAGATGAAAACCAGGAAGTATTTTTTTTTTTTATTATTCTTGTGTTTTAAAAATATTGTGAGAGCAGGAAGAGAAGAGAAAGATCTCAACAAACATATGTACGTGTCATCTTCACTTTTTCTTTAGTATTTTAAGACGAGCCATAAAAAGTATCTCAATAAACCCTATACAGGCAGTCCCTGACTTACGCGGATCTGACTTACGTCGGATCCGCAGTTACAAACGGGGCTCGCCCCGGAGGACACGGACTGCGGGACCTCGTGGTCCTGCAGCCCGTGTGCTCTGGGGCTTTCTCCGCGTCTCCCTGGTCTGCAGACCAGGAAGACACAGAGCAAAGCCGTGGAGGGGCTCGGGCAGCGGGGCAGCCCAGGCGCTTTGCAAAGCCTTGGGGGAAGCCGGCAGCGGGACAGCCCAGATACCCCACGGC